TCACATAATCAATCTTGTACGCCAAGTCCAACGACTTTAAGCAATCGAGTAAGAGATAATAATATTAAATAATTTTTTTTGAATAATAATACTTAATTTTTCATATTAGAACGTTCATAATCCATTTGAGAACCAACTTCAAGAAAGACTGCACTTACCTCTGATCTCTAGTCCATCGCTCTTCCAATTGAATACACCAAAACGTCAAAGTGCTAAATTTGAATGGACAATCGAAGAATTGAGTTCACTTGCTCCTGTTAAATTGGTGCCTCATGAAACACAATTTAAAGAAGAAATCGATCCTGTTCGTGAAGCTCAAGTTCAGGAAGTGATCAACTCTTTCTTTCGTGATAATCAAATAGGTAGAAAGATATTATATATTAATTGTCATGATAATTAATTCTCTTGTTTCCCTACTCAGTTCCAAGTCCACAAAATTGCACCTTAAGAGGACAAAAAATTATTCTACGTGATGAAGAAAAGTCTGAAAATATTTTAAGCTCAACAACTTATCCAGACGAAATGGACAAAACAGGGAAAAATTCAAATAAAAAAGGAACATTGGACGCTGTATCACAAACAAATATTTCATTTCCGCGAAAGTTGCCAAAAGCAATTGAAGATTTGTTGCAGAGTTTCAGTTGTGAAACAAGAGATGAAGTGAAGAGTAGCGAAGAAGAAGATTCAGCAAATCAACATGACAACTCGATGATGGAAATAAGCGAATTACGTCGTAAATTATTCATTGACCATCACGCAGAAAGCTCACCAAGGGAGTCGGAAAGTCCGTTGAAAAATGTTCACTTAAGTCCACCGCCACGAACTCCTGAACTGACGAAAAGCAATGTAATGGAAGATGATTGCTTCGAATATGAAATGTTTGGTAAGCTATCTCCGATTTATGCATGCAGCAGTCCCCAGGTGAGTCCTGATATCAGCCCAATTCCTGCAACTTCAAACGATGTCTCGATGTTGAGTAATTATGCCTGTGATGCGACTCCATTCCGAAAGAACTGCCGTAAAAAGCTCGTGAAGAAACTTTGTGGAAAGAATTTGTCGGAATCTTTTGGTCAACTGGAGAGCGAATTTGCTGATGAAATGACAATTGAAGAGAAAGGTCATTCAAATGATAGTTCTGATGGGAAAGTTGACAATAAATTCAAGAAAAACAGTCTTGAAGTTCCTGAAACTAATGTCAGATTCAAATGCTTTGATTCCGGGTTCTTAGGAGCTGAAGATGATTCAACATCTTTTCACACATAATTGGCTCATGAATTGATTTCTTATTTAGACAATGAAATTTTTTTTCTGATGATCATGACACGATTCAAGCGAGTTTAGCCAATATAAATCAAGTTAAAAGTCTTAAATGTTGCTGCCTTTAATTGTATGTCTCGAAATTTAAATGTGAAATTCATGTTCAAATTAATTTTAAAAGCAATCTTGGAAATAAATAAAATATTAAGAACGATCGTTGTCGATATGAAACGTAAAACAATTTTTCTTTTTTTTACTTCAGAAATCACTCATTGAAGTTTCCAAATTTTCTTTTTATTCATCGGCACATTCGAAGACTTTCTTCATACATTTTAATTGATTTTCAAGGAATTTTTTATACAAATTGAAAAAGTTTATTCGCCTTTCTTGTAATTGAGGGTCAGATTTGTCGAAAAAAGCCAAAACCAGATATGAAAACATTTGTTCGTGTAATTTTTCTTCCTTCGCTTTTTGATGCTCACATTCATCAAGTTTTGCCGAAGACAATCGAAAGATTACTCTAAAATCATCAAAGGACATTAGCGATAACGAAGCGCTAGGAAAGTTTTCTCGCCATTCTACAAATTCTGACTCGCAATTCTCATTCGCATAAATTCCTTCACTGATGTTATGTCGCTTTGGGTCAATGATTTTTATGTCGATCAAATATTTGAATACACATACTCTCACATGAGAAACTCTTGCATCCAACTGTCCTCTAATTAAGTTGTCATCGATATAATTTCCAATAACTTCAGGATAGCAATAAATTGCGGCCCTTCCAGCAATATATTCGAAAATGTTTTTTATTTCTTTCACGAAAGCTTTCTCGTCGATAATTGAATTCGAGTATTTTTGAATGGAAACATTCAAAGCTATGTCATCGACTTTATTATCCTTAAAAAGCTTCATTCCACATTCTGTCATATTTTCTCTCTTTAAAATGCTTTTGATAGAATCGTCAATGCCTTCTTTAAGTTGCGAAATTTTAGTTTCACAATACGCGTCGAGTTGTCCGGTTTTCGCAGCATAATCTTGCAAGCATTTTTTATAACGATCAGCTTCACCTCCACTTATACAAGTTACGCAACTGATAACACAAAATAATAAAATTAAAATTTTCATTTCAAGTCTTCACTTGTCAACGTGAGTTCTACGAATGAATTCTCAATCAAAGAAATTCTAAATTTATATAGAATGGAGAGGAATGAGACGCAAATTCTATGCCTTAATGTGGTTACAACTAAGGAGAGGCGATCGTCTCTCTTTTTCGAACGATGTTCGTTATATGTGTTTGGCATCGCCTATTAAATCTCTCGAAGAAGATCGGAAGAGCGTCGTGTAGGGAAA